GACGATTTCGACGTTCCGATTGATCTCGGAATGATTCACCAGTTCTGGAGAACGCTCGAGATATTAGAGCCAGGTAATTTAAGATTAATGTTTTATTTATAATTTTCTATTAAAATACATTATTTGTTTTAATTCATTGACTTTTTTATCGTATACTTGTAGGGACTGGTCATCCGAGCCAGGCGAGCAACGCTGCATGGTCAGATGCGGCGTTCTTTTATACGCTTGTGACTGAGGTTGAAACCCGCGATCCCGCGACGATGCGGTACGTGAATAAGTTCATGTACAGTCATCTTTACCCAGACCAACAGGATTATGCGGAACCTGAGGTTAAGGATAACCCGCGAGGTCGTCCCAAGAAAACTAATTCAACTAAGCGTAAACCATCTGCTTTTGAGTACAACGAAAAATTGCGAGGTCGAAAATCGAGCCGTACGACCAATTCTTCGCGTGGACAGACAAGTTCGTCTTCTCAACAGTCACAAGGGGATGAAGGTCATACATTTTTTTTTTTTTAAATACGGCTGAGCGTTAATTAAAGTATTTATATGATTATATAAATTGTGACGTGAAATTATTATGATATTTATTGCAGAGTTTAGACCGACAAATATTTTTGGATTTTCATTCTGGCAATGTATCCCCTGGCATATGTTGGACTACATAGTGAGTTACCTGAATGTGGAAGCGGATGGTAACTGCGGATTTCGGGTCATCGCGAGTCACATGTATGGTCATTAGAAGTACTGGGCAAATGCAAGAGAAAACATTGCGAAGGAGGTCGACAACCACCCTGAATTGTACGAGTACATCTATTTTAGAGATATCGAGGCCGGACTCCGTCGCATAAGGTGGGCCAGAGGCTCTTGTGGACCGACTCACTGGTTCGAAGTTCCGCAGGACCTCTATGCCGTTGCGACCCTATTTAATGCGGTTGTCGTTCATTTGAGCTCTGGTCCAAACGGTGGGCAGCACGACTTATTCAGCACCACAGTGTTGCCTCTCACTGCACGATCATCGGCTAGAGGACCATGTCGTGAGATTGCCATTTGCCATCTTGGTACCGTAGAACACTACATTCGTTTAGATTTGACTGATGATTGTCCATTACCGCCTATTCATAACAAGTGGTTCCGTTACCGAGATCAATCGGTTGTGGGTTGGGAGCATCAGTACCTGTCTAGGTTGCAATTGTGGTATACTGTTCAAACAAATCGTTCTTGAATAAAAGAACGATATTATTCAGTTATGGTATGACGCTTCTCATTCAACTTATGTTTAGCAAATTAAAAAAAAAAATCATTCAACTTAATGTTTTACAATAATAATTAAAAAAAAAAAACATTCATTACATTATTATTGGGCATTGTCGTAATCCAACTTAAACTTAGCCAGCTGTTCTTCGACTTCCGCCGCCACCGGACAATCGCATCCATGCTGCCAAATCGATGTAATACCCAAAAGACGGTCCACCCACTAAAAAAATAGAAGAATAAAAACATAAGACTAAAATTTATTAAAAAAAAAAAATTTGTAATGAGTTAACATTAATTAAAATTTAGTAACCAACTTACATAGGCGGTATTGACACGCGTTGGGACCTCGTCCTCGTCCGGCAGCTCCTCGCCCATGAGAGTCGGATGGGAAACCCGACTGTACCACTGCAGGTAATCCTCAGTCGCCTCCCCGCGATCCTGTGTGGTCTGGGTCAACATACTTGTGTTGACCGTCCCAGACATCGGGAACTGGGTCCAGAGGGATACTGCACCAGCCTCAGAATGCTCAACCTTGTAGTTCCTAGACTCCCAAGCACGTACTGCACTGATTGGCGGGAATATAGGGGGAGGGACAGTCTGGACATACCCCAGCTGACGCAGACACCGCGCAGGCAAGTACGGCTCGACGACATCGCGGTATCGAATCCATCCGCTATAAAGAGTCCTCGGCTCTATCGCATCTGGGCTGGAGCTGCCGTATGGCAACCATTGCACCTGTTCACAATTGCATAAGAGAATTTATAAAAATAATTATGTTATTTTAAATAACGGGTAACTAAATTCAAATAAAATAAATTCACGTACATCGGAAGCAGTGAGTCTGTCGAGGCGCCGACGGATGGCTGTGAGCCGATCGTCTGACCGTGGCGCATTCCCTACGCCCCACGAACGTGATCGTGCGAGACAGTCAGGACCGATGGGTAGACGCCCTCGGGGTCGGAAATCGGGGAAATACTCATATATCCAAGACTGTAGAAGAGTCAAGCAGCCCGACATCTGGGCAGAGTCCCCTCGGCTGGCAATACCTAGTTGTCTGTACAAGTATGCCAGCGTAGCCGATCCCCATGAGTAACTCTCAATCAAATCCAAGCCGTCGAGCACCTCGTACAGGAGCTTGGGGGTCACTCTACTACCACTCTTGTCGACGAATAATGTGGTAGCCAGGCACCCGCCTCATCCCTAGCCGGCCGGTCTTTCCCCCTGAATGCCCCCGAAATGGCGGCTTCGGACACCGAACCACGCTGCCAGAACGAACTCATGAGTTCGCCCTTGGTGACCGAAAGTATCGACATGCAGAGCCCATGGCAGGCGTCCGAATCCGGGTCCTCAGCGACCACGACTCCCTCCACTGGAACGCCCAAAATGGCCCGGACGTCGTGCAGCATGATGCTCATCTCACCAAAAGGCATGTGAAACGAGTTAGTATCCGGCTGCCATCGCTCCACAAAAGCAGAAAGGAGTGGGGTGTCCAACTGGGTGTGCATGGAGTCGACCAAATGTGACAGCCCGGTCTGGTCGAGAAGAGCTCCCGCATCGGAAGACATCTCTTCACGCCAAGCCTTCAGATTATCGATCGCTCGCACTCTGTTGCGGCATTTCAGTAGCCCCCCTCAAATTCCCACTCCACATGCGGGAGGCGACGTGCCCAAGAAAGCTAGAGATGACACTCCCATCAATGGGCCCACCGAGCACTGGGCCTCTAACGATCCAAGGTGCATCATCATCGGTCCTAGCTCGTTTGCTAGTACCTGCATTAAAATACAACATATCTGTATATATTGACTTGCTGGCAGATGCATTAAATAAAATATATTTAATAAAACATATTTTATTATTTACGTTACATTTTACATTTTACGTTATTATTATAAGCATATATAATTTATAATTATTAATATTATTTTTTGAATTTATTATTATTACAATTTATTCAACTTACCCTAAATTACAAAATAATTATACTGTAGTTGACGAGCAGGCCGATAATACTTTTCTAACAGTACCGATAATTTGTTATGATTAAGTGAAAATAATTTATGTTAAACAACAATAAATAAGTAAATTATTTACCTGATGAGGATGCAGATGGGCCAAAACTCCCCCCAGCCTGCCGTCGAGGAGCAGGCTGTGTGGGACGAACAGCATGTACCGGACGAACATGCTGTAGAACCGGCTGTACCGAACGAACTGGCTGTACAGTAGGACGAGGGTGGTTAGGACCCGTAGGCTGTACAGTAGGACGAGGGTGGTCCTGATCATCTGAAGAGTCGTCCGAGTCATAGTCCTCTGGACTCAGCTCCCTCTCGCCATACGACTCATCGTCAGCATACCCCTGCTGACCATAAGGTAATGGTACGCGTGCGCGGGGGGGTAACGACTTCCCTGCGTAGCGGGGAAAAGCACATCCCGGCTGATCGTACGGTACTGGTGCCGGGGGCATCGTCCTGCCCGCCTGGCCAGGAAAATAAAATCCATGTTCGCCGTACGGGAGGGCTCCGTGGGGTCGCGAACTACCTGGCTGGCCCTCAAAATGATATGGACCAATGGGCACTGGTGCGGGGGGGCGGGAACTCTGGCTCGCCTGACGAAGCTGTACCCTACGAGCCTCATCGATCAACGCCTGCCTTTCCATGTCCCTCTCCCGACGAACGGACGCATTGACACCCCGACTTCTAGTGTGTCGGGTGCCAGAACCATCATAATAGTCATCGTACGCCTCGTCGTCGTCCCTGGCATTAAATTGTCCAGGTCTGCCAACACCCTGAATCAGAAATATAATTATTAGATTTTTCCAATGTAATGATTATTCTAATAACTATTAAAATAGATTATAATCCATTTTTCTTTTCATATATAAATTTTATTAATTATTATTATAATTATAATTGTTGAGATTTATAATAGTTATTATAATTTTTTAGTTCAAT